CTCTGTGCTAGGAGTTGTAGTCATCAGGCAGGGAGCATCATGCAAGCTGGTGCCTAACCATGCATCATGTGAGTGCCTGCTGGGCCCTGCGCACAGGAAGGTTCTGGGGATCTTTCCGGGAGGTCAAGATGGGGTGAAATGCTGAGAAGCACGAGTATAACAGGAGGGTGGCTCCTCTGCCTTTTGAAGTTGAGGGCCCTGGACTCCTCTGAGACCTTGGACTTACTAATTTGGTTAACAGAATTAGCCCTGACTGGAGAAGTTTGGGTATGCAGCTGCTGAATCTGCTCATGTGGTATATATGTATACATATATATTATGATTGTTGTAGCAGGCAATACTGGTATCAGCTTAGTGCCCAGGGGCTGTTGTGCTAAGTGCTGTACAAACACAAAACAAAAAGCCTCTTATTCTCCTGGTTATGTTGCTTCTTTCTTGGGTTTGGAAAATGTATCTGAAGAGGCAAATGCTGCCGCCTCCTCTTACAGGAGGCAAGTTCCTGGGACAGTGGGGTTCATGTAGACTCAGGATGGAAAGTTCTTAGGAAACCCAACTGCAGGCCCCATGTCCCTAGCTGGGAAGTGCAGAGCAGCAGGCACTGCCAGCCAGCTCCCGTTCCCAGTTGGAGTTGGGCAAGCCCTGCTGAAGCCACTAGGATTGGCACAAGTGTGGATGAAAGCTGAGTTGACTGGCAGTTCTGAAGTCACTTATGCCAGAGCTTAACTCTTGAATGAATAGAGAGGGGAGAGGACCCACTGGGATGCATTTAGATTGGGACCATGGTGGGATCTGAACACTAAAGGCCAGATTTACCTGTGCTGCTTAGCCCTCATGTTTGGGCCAGACCTTCCAGTGAGGCAACAGATTTAAGTTGGCCAGATCTTCAAGTGGTTAGTTTGAAAAAATTGTGGCCACTAGTATTGCTACAAGAGCTTTGGAAAAACTCAGTCTTTATTTAAATGTTAAAATAGGTCAGGAGCTGGCTTGCAAATTCTGGCCTGGGTCATTTGAAACACTGGCCCTAAATGATTTGACCAGGTCATTACTCCAATACCTTGGGTAAAGGGACCAAACGCACACCAGACTGGAATCCAGCCACGGTGCTTCTTGGGATGGTACTGGCAAGGTGCGTGCTTTTCCCTCTGCGGATGGGGTTTTGCTTTCTTGAGGGCACTGCTATGACACCTGTAGCATCCTGCCTTGCAACTTACAGCACATTAATGGCCTCAGATATATGAATTGTTATGACACCAGTTGGCTGTGAATACAGAAGCAAATCTATAAAATGATCACAGGCTGGAAAGGAGCCAGGCTCAGTGCATCTCTCTGAGAGGTGGAACCATGGAGAAGAGGGAGCCATGGCAACACAGCAGCATCCTTCCTTCCTCCTAGCAGAGGAAATCCCTTCAAAGATAGTATGCATACAGCATCAAGGGCTGGGCCAGAGGATATAGCACTGTTGACCAGGTCAGCTGTTCTTCATGGACTCATCACCAGTACCCTCTCCCTGCAAAAAAAACCTATAAGGCAACCTGGCCTGAGATAATTCTGACTACGTGAAGAGTATCTTGCACAGTGAAGCTCTGTGAGGGTGGGAAAGGGGGCTGCAGCAGCAAGGACAACCAAGGGAGCCTGGCTCCTTCAGGGACCTTGTTACTAAGGGAACTAAAAAGGCACAGGACCCTCACACTTATTGGTTCTCAGAGCAGAGGACCTGTTCCAACTTCCTGACCATCGCACAAAAACCCTAGGAGATCAAACTCACCAAGGCCCTGATCTGACAATGTCAGCTCTCTCTATAGAGGTAAAATCCTGAGCCCTGCTGAAATCAGTGGGATCAACCACATCAAAACCCTTGTAGGGGCCAGGTCCAAGTTTCCTATGTCCTATTGCAGCACATTCCCTGCACAGGGAGAAAATCTGACCCTAGTATTCTAGAGAGAGAGAGAGAGAGAGAGTGATTGTCCAATTGTGATTGTCCATTTTTGTATTAAAAGTGAAAAAAGAAAATGAAGGAAAAATCAAGGACACGTACAAAAATCCAATCTAGCTAGGTTCTGGTTCTAACTGGTGGTCTTTGAGGAGCAGACACATGGAATATATTTAGATCCTGACATTTTTTCTGTTTGAGTTTTGCCTGGGAAAAGAGTACGGAATCAGACCTTTTGCGTTTCGGGCAATGTTCGGGTAAAGACAGCAGGAATGCACGGAGCATCATACCAGTTTCATAACATATATGTCACATGCAAGTGAATGAAAGGGGACGTAGTTGATGCAAGCAGATCAAATGCAGCAAAACACTTCAAATTTTGCTCCCCCCAGGAGATTCCTGCAACAGAAAGGATTTTTCTTGTTGTGGCTGTTTCCTCCTTTACTGACTCAATTCCAAATGTCTTCCAATGCAGCATCTGAGCTGACAGAGCTGCAGCTGAGCGATGGATTTGGGAAAATAAAAATAGAGCCAGAGTGGTGCAGAGCTGTCTATTAGCTCTCTGGGCAGGTGATTTCTTGGAACAAAGCAGGACATAAATCTAATGGGATCATTCCACCAGCGGTCACACCACCTTGCTTCAGCCACACCAGCTGCAGACTGAGCCAATGCTGTGGCGTGGAGGTTTGTTAAATAACACCCTGCCTTCTTAAGCACAAAGCTATAGCGGCACTGGCGCGGTCTCCAGAGTGATTGCATCTCCCCACCCCACTGGATAAGCAGATGATAAAAAAAAGATGAAACGATATATATTTTTCCTGGCCGATTTGGTAACGTTTCCATTAGAACAAAAAACCAAGGCAGGGCCAAGTGGTGCTGAGAGAGGCAGGAATGGAAGAGACCCGCAGCTGGGGCAGGAGGCAGTGAAAGTTGCCACGGATCTAGACCATTTTTGTTATTAATCAGGCATAAAAGTTTCTAGATGCGGTCTTCTCAAGGCAATGGAGGCAGGAGCCTTTCCCGCCTCCATTACCGCTGGTGGCTACAAGAGCCCCCGCTCTAGATGCAACCAGAATGAACCACGGAGGGGAGGGTTCCCCCCTAAATCTGTAGGCGATTAGCAACTTGGAGCCTAAAATAGCACCTTGAATTCATGCATAAGAAACCATTCCCCCCTCACCCACATACATCAGCGCCTTGGCACAAAGGCCTACGGCAGGGGCCGCGGCTGCTGCGCCCGCTCGGCCTCGCAGCTCAGGGAACCGTCAGCCTT